CTCAAAAAGCCTCCTCGAGCTGGTATTCAATGCCTTTTCTTCTTTTCTGCTCTCCTCTGGTTTGTAACCAGCAAATGTGATTTCTTCTCTCTTCATACATCATACTCCCACATCCGTTACCTTGTTATTAGTCGTGTGATGACAGATCCTTATTGCTGGTAGTGATTCTCGGCAAATTAACTCTTTAATTCAGCATATGCACTCTGCTTCTCTATGAAAGAGTTGGTGATATTTCTATTTTCTTTGGCATTCCATTCACTCACTTCTGAAGGATTTGTTTCTCTCTCAACATCAAGTATGCTACGGAAATTCTTGCCAAAGCTGGCATGACTAATTGTAAATCCTATGGCTTCCCCCCAATGGCAACTAAACCTTTTCCTACTGATGGACACTATGATCCACTTTCTCTCAGCCTAATTTTACCAACAGTGGGTTGGGAGCTTTACAGTATCTTACATATCACTAGGCCTAAATCTCTCTTTTGCTGTCAATCATTGCTTGCCAGTTTATGGCATTCACCACAGTGGGCCCATTTTCAAATGCTGTCAAACGATGTTGCGGTATCTTCAGACCTTTGCACTATGGCTTGCAATTTCTCTAGTCTCTTTGGATTCCATGCTATCTGATTCGATTGGGCTTGTTGAGGTTATAGATCGGCAATCTACCACTGGCTACTGTGTTTTTCTTGGTTCTAAATCTTGTTTCTTGACTGCCAAGAGCAATGCACAGTTCTCGTGTTCCTCCACTAAGCAAGAATATCGAGCTCTTGCTCAGGCTCTGCAGAGTTGGCTTGGCTTCGCTGCTCATCAGAGTTGCATCTTCGCTCCCTCCTCCAATCTCTTTGGTGTGAACAATCTTTCGGTCTTTCCCTTGGCCTCCAAAATCCAGTTTTTCATTGCTCGTCTAAGCATATGCTGTGGATTAACATTACTCCTGAGCAAGTTTGCTGCTAAACTTGTGTGGTTAACATGTCTCTTCTGTGAAATCAAATTGCTGACATTCTTACTAGCTGTTAGGTTTTATTTCTTGGCAATACCCGTTTGACAACAAACTCCTTTTCAGTTTGTATGTAATTCTGCTCGTGAATTTTCAACTGACGTGAGCCATAGGCAACTACTTTCCCTTCTTGCATTAACACACAACCCAGACCCTCTCGTGAGGCGTCACAATAGACTGCAATACCCAACCCTCTCTCTGGAATAATCAACTGGAGCGGTGGTCAGTCTAACTTTCAACTCCTGGAACGACTTTTCACAAGTCTCACTCCATACAAATTTGACTCCCTTCCGAGTCAATCTAGTCAAAGGCGAAGCTAATCTGGAGAAATCTTTCACAAACCGACGATAATGAAAGGAGTTTTGTCAAACGGGATTGCCAAGAAATAAAACCTAACAGCTTAGTAAGAATGTCAGCAATTTGATCAACAGAAGAGACATGTTTAACCACCACAAGTTTAGCAGCAACTTGCTCATGGATGTAATGTTAATCCACAGCAATATGCTTAGACCGAGCATGAAAAACTGGATTGGAGGCAAGGGAAAGAACCGAAAGATTGTCACACCAAAGAGTTGGAGGAGGAGGAGGAAGATGCAACTCCTGAATGAGCATGCGAAGCCAAGCCAACTCTGCAGCAGCCTGAGCAAGAGCTCGATATTCTGCTTAGGTGGAGGAACACGAGACTGTGCATTGCTTCTTGGCAGTCCAAGAAACAAGATTAGAACCAAGTAAAACACAGTAGCCAGTGGTAGACTTGCGATCTATAACACTCCCAGCCTAATCGGAATCAGAGTAGGCATGAAGATCCAAAGAACTAGCAGAAAATTGCAAGCCATAGTGCAAGGTTTCTTGAAGATACCGCAACAGTCGTTCGACAGCATTGAAATGGGCCACTGTGGGTGAATGCATAAACTGGCAAGCATGATTCACAGCAAAAGAGAGATCAGGCCTAGTGATTGTAAGATACTGTAAAGCTCCAACCACACCGTGGTAAAGATTAGGCTGAGAGAAAGGGATCATAGTGTCATCAGTAGGAAAAGGTTTAGTTGCCATGGGAGAAGCATAGGATTTACAATTAGTCATGCCAGCTTTGGCAAGAATTTCCGTAGCATACTTGTGTTGAGGGAGAAACAATCCTTCAGAAGTGGAGTGAATGGATGCCAAGAAAATAAGAAATATCACCCAACTCTTTCATAGAGAAGGCAGAGTGCATATGCTGAATTAAAGAGGTAATTTGCCGAGAATCACTACCAGCAATAAGGATGTCATCCACATAGACTAATAACAAGGTAACGGATGTGGGAGTATGATGTATGAAGAGAGAAGAATCACATTTGCTGTTAACAAAACCAGAGGAGAGCAGAAAAGAAGAAAAGGTTGAATACCAAGCTCGAGGAGCTTGTTTGAGACCATATAAGGCTTTACTCAACTTGCACACACGAGAGGGAAAACTAGAGTGTTCAAAGCCTGGAGGTTGAACCATGTACACCTCTTCTTCAAGGACACCATGCAAAAATGCATTAGAGATATCCAATTGTTTGATTTGCCAATTAAAATGAAGGGCAAAACTTAAAAAGACTCGGATGGTAGGTTGCTTAGCCACAGGACTGAAAGTCTCATGATAATCAATTCCTTTTTGCAAATAACCATTAGCAACAAGGCGAGCTTTATGACGAGCAACTGTGCCATCAGAATTTTTCTTAAGGCGGAAAACACATTAACAGCCAATAGCATGTTTATGTAAAGGAAGCAGGACCAAAGTCCAAGTCTTCTGATTATGCAAAGCCTGAAATTCCTCGTTCATAGCTTGAGTCCATTCTAGAGTCTGAAGAGCCTCAGTGTGAGAAGTAGGTTCAACAAGAGAGAGATCAGGAGAAGCCATAGAAGAAGCAAAAAGAGAGAAGTGAGATGCTTTAGATCTAGTAAACATAGGATGTTTATTAAGAGAAGGAGAAGGAACATGGGATGGGCCTGAACCAGAGAAGGCACTGAGATTAATAAAAAGAGAGCCAATAGGAATGGAAGAAGAAGAAGGAACTGGAACAGAAGGTTGAATAGCAGCTGCTGAGGGAGATACAGAAGCATGTGCAGGACCTACAGGAGAGAGTAGAGCAGGCACAGGAGAAATAGCAGAAGACACTGCTGCAGAAAGAGCAGGACAGACTGTTGCAGAAGTAGCAGGACAGATTGCTGGGTTTATAGGAGAGACGACAGCAGGCACAGGGCTAGAGAGTGGGTTAGAACCAGAACCCAAGGCAGGCAGAGGCAAAAAAAACTGAGAAGGGCTAGGAACAGTAGGTGACTGAGCTGCAGGAACAGGAGGAGATTGACCTGACTGAGATGAACTAGGATGAGACTGAGCTGACTGAGCTGGACTAGGAACAGATTTAGAGGACCAAAAGAAAGAATACAGCTGGGAAAAAGAAGGCATAGAACTAGTGGAAAGAGAAGATGGCACATGAGAGACTAGAGGAAATAAGGTTTCATCAAAGACAACTTGTCTTGATACATAAATTTTACCTGTAATAGGATCCAGACATCTATAACCTTTGATAGATGGATGATAGCCAATGAGATACAAGGTATGGAATTGGGTTGTAGCTCATGAGAGTTGTATGGCTTGACCCAAGGAAAACACCTACAACCAAAACTTTTGAAAAAAGTAAAATCTGAAACATGCTGAAACAAAATCTCAAAAGGAGTTCTATTTTGCAATTTGGAACTTGGTAGTCGATTAACAAGAAAAACAGATGTAGCCAAGGCATCAAGCCAATAAGACAATGGAAGAGCTCATTGATGAAGAAGAGCAATAGTAGTACTGATAAGATGTCTATGTTTCCTCTCTGCAACTCCATTTTGAGGAGTGTGAGAACAAGAAAGCTGATGCATAATGCCATGATTTTTAAGAAAGGATTCAAACTGATTACTAGTGAACTCACCACCACCATCAGTTTTGAAAATTTTAAGAGTAGTTTCAAATTGAGTTTCAACAAACACTTTAAACTCTTGAAATTTAGAGAACACCTCACTTTTGTAGCACAAAGGATAGATCCAAGTGAATTTACTAAAATCATCAATAAAAAGAACATAGTATTTAATAGGAGAAGAAGAAGCAGAGAAAGGTCCCCAAACATCACTATGAATGAGAGATAATGGTTTGTTCACAATAGAATTAGACAAATTGAAAGGCAATCTATGACTCGTGGCCACAGCACAATGAGTACACAAATGAGTATTATTATATGATGGCAAAATAATCACAGATATTCAGAAAGCGGACAACCAAATGAAGGAGATGCATGAAACTTCAATTAGCACAAAGCAACTTCACCTCTCCTCTCTGCATGTGTAGAGAGAGAGAGAGAGAGAGAGGCATCCAGTATTGCAGTATTCAAGGCCTATTACAGTCTGTAAGAGAGATAATAATCAATTATGTTAAAGAGCAAGAGATCTGATTGAATATATTCAGTCCCAAAAATGCAGCCTTTAAACTTCTATGAAGTATGAAATAATTGAAAAAATAAAATATTAAATAATGACAAGGAACCACTGAACATAAAATAAACAGCACAAAGTCAATAGAAAGACGGTCTTCAAGAAGCTTTTGATTGTTGGTACCAACATCAAGCATAACTGGAAGTATCTGTCATAGATGAACACAGCTAGATTGGTATAGAACAAAGCAGAATGAAAGGGTAAACAGTTAGTCCAAAACTGGATATATAATATAAGATAATAAATATCATAGTTACTAGTATCTTTAAGATCAGGTGGACAAGAAATTACTGTCAGTTCTCCACGCATCTAACCTTCTGTCTCATATATATGCACTTTCATCAATATAATATCCACATTGATGAAAAATAGCCAATAGAAATATGTTTTGCAAAGCATGAAAAAATAACAACATAACCAACATATAAACAAGCATAGGTAACCTTCAATATGCATGATACATGCAATAACAATGTGCTATGATCCATATCAAGCATGGTAAGTATCTGTGAGTCAGCCCAGTACTAAATGTGTGTATTTACTTGTCAGTGTGCACAAGTGTTTATGCATTGACGCACACTTGTATACCAAATTTATTTTAGTGTACACCTGTTTGTGCTATGCCTACATGAACCTGCACATAATAAAGAGTGATGAGTAGAGCATACTCTCTGTGGATTGATTCCAGCAGCAGCGACATACATATCAACTTTTCCAATGGGTGTTCCAATTCCCTGGACCCCAAGATCACCTAGACCAAGAATGCGACTGCCATCAGTCAGGACAATCATGACAACCAGCAATACAGAAGAAGCCATATACCCATGATATGTCAAGGGCAATGATGAACATAACCTTTAAGCTGCAAGGAGTGCTAAACCAATTTTCTTTTCTAAGCCAGCAAATGTGCTCATTTTGTAATGTAGATATTCATCATTCACAGCAAACATAATGCTATACTGAACACATTTTTATACCTTGCTTTGTTTACCATCTGATCCGGTACAAGTACAAAGCACTCTTAATGTATCACCAACAAGTAGGTAAAAGCAAAAAAGAGAACAAAACTGTACATCAATGCATTTTATATTTCCAAAATACCAGATGACCAGGCCAGTTATAGATCATGGACATCATCTCTCCTTTATCTTTTGCACTGAAGTACATTCCCCATGGGCGTCTGAACAACCCTGAATAGTTTTGGCAAACCAATCCTACTGTAGGAGTATATATTATTGGAGCAAAATCTTCAATGTTATCAATAAGGACATGGAGAGAAAAGCAACAGCAATGCGTCATTGCATGGAGAAGAGGGTGTGACTTGAACTCTAGACCACAAAATTAATAAGTTAGGCTCTTACCATTTGAATTGCATGTAACTTATATATGTATTTTGTATATTTATCTATCTATTTGACCTAAGTGTGCCCACCACTAGTATAAAATAAAATAAACACAAACCTGTGATTATCAACATGCAGGTTGATAAAAATGTATTCATGGCATTCTATTCTGGCGAGAGAGCAAAGAACAAAGTTACTAAAATATGTGAAACTTTTGGTGCAAATCGTTACCCTTTTCCTGAGGACTTGGGGAAACAAAATCAGATGCTCACTGAGGTACACATTGTGTTTTCCTTTGATTTTTTGTTGTCACAACTACGAGAAGATCACTGTCCTTTAAAATCTCTCTTTTTCCTCCCTTGGTCCATGCTGCAGTTTTATTCTTTCTGTTCTTTCTGTTGTCATGGTTTTGTTGAGTCTTGTCACTTTTGCCGTTGTATGAAGGCCACATATGGTATTCTGGAATTAAACAAATTGGAATGGAATGCATATTGGATGGGAATGGAACATAGAATACAATGGAATCCTCATCCCCATCCTTAGTTTTGGTTGCCAACATGGAATTATGGGGGAATATAATGGTAATTCCCATTCTGATGTTGATTTAGCCTACTCAAAACTGCTAGAATATAATGTAATATGACTAGTGGTTGGTTGTGGGAGGGTGGAGGTTGTGGTGGTTGGTGATGGTGCATGTGGTGGTCAGCAATTGGTATGTGTAGTGGTCAACAGTGAGGTGAGGTAATCTGCCTTGGGTGTGGTAAGTGGTGAGTGGCAATGGTTCCAATTGGTAGAGGAGAGGAGAGGTGGAGAAGAAGATAACTGGAGATGGATAGAGAGATAGAGATATTTCAAATTTTATGATTCAATGATGTAACAGAATGATCATTCATCTCCTCATGACGAGGAATGCCCGAACTTTTTTAACATATAGTATATATAATCTTTTTATCTTATGTTTGTTTCAGCTGAATGCAGAAAAGAGTCCTTTCCAGAGAACTTATGCCACTCAGGTGCATTTTTGTTTCTCCTTTGTAACTACTAAACCCAACTTTGGTTTACTTTACATCATCATGGATTTGTCTCAAGAAGTACCTATGCTTTTTGCATGTAAAAATCAATCAACGTTTTAACGTCTGAATAAGAAAGAATTAAGTTCTTTCGACACCTCTTGCTGCCAGTACTTTTGAGAAACTTTATATATATATGCACAAAACTTTGATAATAAGAGCATTAAGTTAAGTTTTTTCATCGAGTATATAAACTTTTCCATTCCTTGGTCTTCTCTGGTGATCTGGTGGATAATTGAGATGCCTGGTGAAACATTTTGGGCTAATTTGATGATTAAACGGGCCCTGTTTAGAATCTGGATTTTGGTTGTTAATATGCATTGATACATTGTAATCTCCAAATGTTATCTATTTTTTCCCGAGAGATTGTTAGTGCAGGTTTAACTAGCTTTTTATTTTCACAAATCAAGTATAATTGGTCTTTAAAGATTAGGACTTGTGTTAACTTCACTGCAAAGAGTAATTGCTTCTACTTTGTTGGTGGTAGAGTGTGGACCATCTTGCCAACCCAATAATCAACAATTGTTATTAAATTTTTTTATTCTGTTTTTATTAGAAAAATTTATTACAATTAATAATATAACAATTGTTATTTTTTTAATTTATTATTCTTTTTCATTACAATTAAATTGTGTAATTTATTTAATGCCTATAAATTGCACAATTTATTTCAATATTAATAAATTATTTTTATTATTATTTTGTTTAATTTATTTTTTTATTTCAATTTATTTTCTTTAATTATTTTGTTCAATATTATTTCAATTAATGACTTTTTGTAATCAATTAATAATAAAATTATTAATTAGTATTAATTAATATAAAAATACTGAAATTAATACTAAAAATACTAAAATTATTAATTTTTGAAATCAATGTTAATAATTAATACTAAAATTATTAATAATGGCTTAATTATTATTATTATTATTCTTTTATTAAAAAATACTGAAATCTGATCGGAGAGTTCTCATCGGCGCGAGAGAGAGAGAGAGATCCGATCGGCGACGTTGCACGCGATCTGCCGCGATCTCTGGTTCATGTTTTCCGGAAATCGCGATCTGCCGCGATCGCGATCCACCTTCCGAACCCGACGACCAAAAACCCTAGGTTTGGTGCCATGGATGTGCACAGAGAGAGAGCGAGGGAGAGAGAGAGAGTTCGCCGGAAATCGCGATCTGCCGCGATCTGGAGATCGCGATCCACCCTCCGAACCCGACGACGACAAACCCTAGGTTCGGTGCCATGGCTGTAGTAGAGAGAGAGAGAGAGAGAGAGAGAGAGAGCAAGGGAGAGAGATCTCTGGGTTCGCCGGAAATCGCCCGAAATGGCCGGAAATCGCCAGACAGAGAGAGAGAAGAGACAAAAATGAGATTTTTTTATTTATATAACCGTAATTATTGAAGTTTTGGAAGGGCATTTAAGTCATTTCATGCCCCTCCAAACAGATGCGCGCTTAAGCGGAAATTGGAAGCACCTCCGGAGCAACTTGAGGAAATTGGCTTAAAATGACTTTTTTTAAGTTATAATTTGCTGCTTTAAGTTCCACCAAACAGATCAGAATGACTTAAATTAAGTCATAAGTTGAAATAAGCTGAAGTTAAGTTCCACCAAATAGGCACAATAAAAATGTTAATTCAACTCATTTATTTTGGAAGAGAGGAATTATAAGCGTTAAATGGTGTGTTTCAAGGCCTACACCTAATACATTATGAGATCCCATGGAGACAATGTAAATTCCATCATTGTAGCTGCATCAAATATTCTTGGTCCATCGCAAAAAAAGGCCATCAAATTAAGCTTAAGAGCTGAAATCTAGCACTTCATAGAATGTTTGAATGAAGTACAAGATCATTTTTGCCGACCTAAAAGCAAGATAAACTATAAAAGCCAAAACACATGGAGCAAGAAAAGTGACCTGTTTGGACTCGGTAGCTTTTGCAAGCAGCATGATGTCCCCATAGGAATGAGATGTTTGTACAGTTATAGTAACCAATCAAGACTGAGCAACAATCCAAGACCATACTAGAGATACACTGTCCTGCAAACCAAACAAGTCAAGTGTTAGTTCAACTTGTTGTAACAGAGTGAGTTAGGTAGATATTTTCGTAAGATATTTTGTAAACATGTGGAGTGTATATAACGTACTGTATCTCCCAGTTTTCAATCTAATGAAAATCATTCAGTTTCAATAACTTCTTCATGTGTAACACTAAGAGAGGTAGCTATAGCATGGCTAGTCTGCATATATCCATCAGGGATGAATTGATAGATTAAAAACTCAATATCCACAAATAACTTAGAGAGAATGATATATATACTCAAGGCAGCTCAAGTGGAAAATCAAGACAAATCCAAAATGGAGTGTGCTGTTAGATAATCATCAAGTTCACAAAAATAGGATTCTTCTCCATATTAGTTCTAAGAATCAACCATTGTGGAGCCAAAAATGCCCATTAAACAATTCACCACTAATATCGACCTTCAATTATACATAATGTACACTAATAAACTAGTGTAATACACAAAATTGGATCAAGTAATTTATAGTTACCAAATTACAAATACCATAATGAAAGCAAAAACCACAATAGTTAATTTTTACAAAAATCTAATAAATGACCGCTTGCATTACTAATACTAAAATTCCATAAATGCTAATAAGGTTAAACAATTGATTCCATAAATCATAAATGTATAATATTTCCCTTCACTAAAATTTTGAACAAATTTAATTCAAATATATCCTTTGAACATAAGGTTTGTTTAGGTAATTTAGTTGAAGAAAACAACACCCACTGTGTTTGTTGACAATTTCTTTTTAATGCCACAAGTTCTCCTCTCTTTTTTTCCGATTTTTTAAATATAAGCAAAAATCCTCTCCTAAACTGTCACATAATGCCGTAATCATCTCCTTGGACATTAGGATAATAGTGATGTATAAGGTAGGTAACACGTGAACATCTACAAAAGAATTCAAAGAAAGAACAAAATGAAAAAGAATAACTAAAATATTAGAAGGAAAAAAAGGGTAACATGATTATATATTAATCTCTATGCTTTATGAAATCAGTTCATATTTTTTAGTGTACAAGATTGACCTCATTTAAAATAAAATTTTCAAAAATTCTAAATAATAATTTCAGATTTACAAATTTCCAGTGGGGTCACTTGACCCAACTTTGTTATACATGGCTTTGCCCCTAAGAATCAAGGCAATACACCAACAGCTACTAAAAGAATACAAACGGGACAAATTTCCCAAACTAAAGACAAACAATAGGAAACTATTCCTCCAATTGTAATAAGTTAACATAGTGCACATAGAAGACACGAGGGCTGTTGCATGTGCAGTTACACCCAATTTTAATAGGTACCATATGCCATTTGTTTGGAACCAAATAACATGAAAAACATAGACAACACATGAATGAAAAACTTTTTGACATGGATTTATCTTTAATATATATGAGGAACAAAATTTTCGTTTTTTTCCATTGAAATGGCCAAAATGTTGCCATTTCCCAAGAGACCAAAATGAAACACTAATGGAATAATAAAATTCTAGTGTTTTCATTGAAACGCATCAAAACATAGTGAAACACACCGAAACCAAGTTGAATATACGAGTTTATTTCCGCATGTTATCTCTGAAATGGAATTAAGTAAATGAAATTGGTAATACTTCGAGTAATAAAAAGTGGGGCGTGACATTACTGCTGCTTAAGTAAATTTTTAGACCTTATTAGAAACTTTTGTTTTATAAAATTGAGTTATTTAACAATACTTAATAATTTTTAGTTCATAGTAACATTAGTTTTTTAATTCTTTTACGTGAATGACTATATGAATCTCAATTTGTTTAATTAATCAATTATTAGGCTTTCATACATTTAGATATATTTCAATTTATATTTTCAAACATTTCTATTTTATCTTTATTTCATAAAATATTTCCAAGATGTTTTTGTTTCTGTACCATTTGAAGCAACACATTGAAATGAAATTTTGATCTTTGTATATATATATATTATTATTTGAAATCCAAAGACCAGGAATCATTAATTTGCTGATTCTTTGAGCACACATGCGAAAAAAAAAGGGCAGGCTTCCACACACAAATGCAGTAGACATAATATCACACAAATTCAATTACAATATTTTTACGGTGTGTTAAACATCCATTGGTTCTGAATTGCTCAGGGAGATTAAGCATATGAAATACAAAACACGCTAACAATATACAAAAAATTAACAAATTGTATATAATGTCCCTATTAAAAACTTTGACGTATAAGAATACACTTAATATTAAAATATCAACTAAAGCTAACAAGGTAGCAAAGATTAATCAAATAATGTCGATTCACCCTCTGAGCAAAATGGGTAGCATTTTCCTACTAATTTTCAAGGGGTAAAACAACATGAAGATACTTGACTTGTACAATTTAATAAATGACTTCATTCAACTTTTTACAACATACAAGTTATCCAGTAACCAAAATTCAAATTATAATATAGTCAAGGACACATCATATAAATGCATGTACATTTAAGTTGATGAATAATCAGTATTGATGATCTGCGAGAGTGAGTTAGCTATCAAAAGAAAAATAGCAAATTGGGGAATCACTATAACAACCTATACATATGAACTACCACCTCATACAACATACTACCCAAAAATTTTACAAACAAAAATAGTAGGGGAAGCCAAGCTCACTACATTTTCACTATATGTAACTATAGATAAATAAAAAATCACTCAACATACATCCACGAAATTGTGAAACTATGAACATTCTAAACATGAGCTTTCCCAAAGCTATATTGCCCCTAAACAAAATGAAAGGCCGTATGATGCAAGTTAGGTAAAGATATTACAAAAGAAAACACCAAAATGGTTTTAACTCAAGAAAATTCTTACCAGGATTGGTCAAAAGTGTACATGGGGATAGCGAACAATCACTAGATGGACAGGATAGCCAGGGACAAATGCACCAAGTTGGAAAGAAATGAGAATTCTTCCATTTGTTGTGGTTGCCTCGGAAATACAAGCAGACGAGGAAATCTATCAAAAGAAGCCTTTCTTTGTATTCAAATCCTTGAAAGCACATTTCTGTATCAAATAATCCCTCAGGTATTGATAAAACTTAATACTCTAAATTTTTTTCATACAAAAAATGTAACAACTCTAGGTATACAATTAAAATTGCTTTTAGTTTCCAAATTTATTAAACAACTCACAAAAATGAAATTTGGACACTTGATATGCGTATAATTGTTTGTAGCTTTTAAGTTAGCTCTTACAAGAGCAAAAAATTTGTTTAATTTTTCTAAGCATTTGCAAACTACTTACATCATAGCATTTCATTCTCTTTCATTTTTATTTTTTTTTAACATCACCCTCATTTGACCAGCCAAAAAATTCTCCCTTCAACAAGAATTTGTACCAGCTTAATCACAACAACTTAACAAATACAAAAATATTTTATTAATGACTAGCCCAGAAAACCCAAAACTAAGGTTTGGTTTTCATAATCAATTTTGAAAGATAATTTTTTTAAAATTTGTTTGGCTGTATATTCTACAAATAGTTTTTAGAAATTTAAAAATCCAAAACTCATTTAGTTTTTAGAACTAAAATAATTTTTAAGACTCTGTTTGGTTTTGGAGTTTTCAAAAAGAAATTTTAAGTTTCAATCCGTATTTTATTGTTTTTAGTGAACTTTTTAAGTATTTAATCAAGGTTTTTCAAGTTTTTAGATCCACTCAATCTAAATACACCTAAAACGTATAAAATTTATGAAAAAAATCATTTAAAAAGTCACTAAATATTAATAAATATACAAATTTAATACATTTTTGTATGTATTTTGCATTTATTAAATTTTTTTTTAAATATATGTAGATTAGATGCATCTAAAAAATAAAACAAATTACCCAATATATTAAAAAAATACGAATTAAAAATTTTAAAACTATTTTTGAAAACTCCAAAACCAAACAAAATTTTAAAAATTATTTACTCATTCCATAATGGTCCTCTAAATTTAAATTTAACATAGTTGAGAAAAAAACCCAACTATAATTCTTCCCAAACACCACCTTAATGTTTTTCATATGATTTTTTTGTTTTTAAAATCTAAAAATATTTTTTAAATGTTTATATTTATAAAATTAGTTTATGTTTTGATACCTGCCAATTTGAGTGCTTGTAAAACTGCGGTGGGAATCTCCACAACAGAGCTTATCACTCATCAAAAACATTGAACATCAGGTATGTGAGCTAAGTGGGGCCAATACTTGCCTTTCCCCTTTTCACACTTCCCTGTTAGTCTAGGACATCTCCAGGTCGACAATCTCTTAAGTGAGGGAGGCAGCCTTTGCACTGGTAAAGATTTGAGCCTAGGGCAACCCCAGATGTGAAGATATTCAAGAGAGGCGAGGTTTTGAAACAACTTAGAAGATAGCTTCTCCAGATTTCGGAAATCTTCGATCCAAAACGAGATCAGAGAGGTGGGCAGCAACTTCCCATCTATCGGAAAGCTGGACCCCGCTACACCTTCTTCTTCTTCTTCATCCTCTGCCACCCTAATTGTGCCTGAAATCGACAGTCTTCTAAGAGAGGATAAACTGCGCAAACCAATCTTCTTGAAGTTGTTGTTCCATTGTGAAATATTCATCTCCAGCAATTGAAGAGAAGTGAGGTAGTTGATGCTCTGCAATCCGTGTGGTAGGGCCTTGAGTTTTTTGCATCCCCTGATAGTCAAATGTGCCAGACTTGTTGCGGAGTGGAACCATCCTTCCGGAATGTACTCCAAATTTTTACACCCATCCAAGTACAATCGACTGAGATTCCTGAGATTATTATTATTATTATTAGGAAGGGCATCTGGCAAGTATTTGAGCCTATCACAATAACTGATCCCAACAGACTCAAGAGATGGACAGGTAATTTCCATCCCCTCATCTACTACTAGCAGTGCCTCCAACTTTTTACACCGAATAATCTCAAGCTCTTTGAGTGTGGGTGGTAGCCCCCCACCTCTGCACGATATCAAGCATGTGAGGGATGGACAATCTTGAACATCTAACACTTGAAGATTACTGTCATTAATCTGTGTTAAACACCCGAATAAGGATTGCAGAGCCTCACAATCACCTATCCTGAGTGTTTTCAGCGTGCACGGAAAACCTGTCTCCGGAAAAGAGCTGAGACTCGAACACTTATAGACATACAACTCTCCAAGAAAAGTGAAGCTATGTAGCAGCCGTGGCAGTTTCTCCAGCTTTTCACAATTATCTATTGTTAGATGCTCAAGCCTCCTCACTATGCAGGGGAGTCCCTCTTGCTGCTGCTGCTGCTGCTGCTCATGTTGCCCTTTGTTGTCTTCATCCTCATCTTCTTCAAACAAAGAAACAAGCTGGGGGCAGCCTTTAATTTTCAAATGCCGGAATGCAGGGAGACTCAGACTGTGTTGCACTCTCTCCTCTTTCTTCCACAATGTCTTGAGTTCTTCACAGCTTGTGATCTCCAATGCTTCGAGTTCCATCAGCCAATGAGTAACCCATTTCGGCAAGAGCTCGAGTTTCTTAATCATCCCAATGCTCAAGGAAGTTATTGAACTCGGATGCTTAGACTTTGCATTTGCTGATATCAGTTCGTCATCAACCATGCTCCTCATCTCAAGGACCGCTTGAAGGCTTGTTAGAGGAACGTCATTCATAGCTATCGAGGTGAGTGACGGAAGGCTAATGCTGGAACCTTCAACTAGGAATTGCGGGCACTCTGAAATGTTTAGATTATTCAAACAAGGTAGATCCTTGGGCATCATTCCACAGAGTTTGGGGCAGTCCCTAATCTCTAGATTATTCAAACAAGGTAGATCAGTAGGCAACATTTTAAGAAGTTTGGGACATTTTATTATGGAGAGAGACTTGACACGAGTGAATGGTTGAACTTCTTTGTGATCTGATGGAGAGCTCACTAACATGAGTAAATGGTTCAACTTCCTTATCATCTTCAAAAGTATACCAATACTCCCATTCCGGCATATCCTTAAAGCTTAGAGTCTCCAGTAATTGAAAAGGTTTGGCACTACCCTGCCCGTAAAACTCATGATCGACATGTTTTAGTACACTCATTCCTTTAATGTAAAGCTTTTTGAGCGAGGGTAGTTGTCCGAGTGGTGGCAAGGATACACAATTTCCACAATTATCTAAACTTAGGTCAGCCATATTGGAGAATAGAGGATCTCCTATCCAATTCGGAAATCCTATACCAAGGTAGCCTTCGATATGGAGCTCTTTTAAATTCTTGTGAGGTTGTAGCATATCAAGCACTTTTGTTTCAACTCTTCCATCTCGTGAATCATCTGAGTTAACACTCCATTCCATTGATAACACATCTAACCCCTTCTTATCATTTAAATTTGCCTCCCTTGCATCTAATGGAACCACCACGTTCTGTAACCCAGACAGGCAAAGCTTCCCCCGAAGATAAATTAAATTCCCCAACTCTCTTAACCAATGCCCATTGTCTTTAGTAACAATGAAATTGGACAGTGTTTGAAGACTAGCCAACTTACCTATTCCCAATGGCATTTCTTTTAAGGAATGTGCATTTGTAGTATCGAGATGACGTAGGTCAATTAGGTTTCCCAAGTCTGTTGGCAACTTTTTCAGTTGTCTACATCCTCTTAACATCAATGTTTGTAGATTGTAAAGAGAGCCTAGTGATTCAGGTAATTCTTCAATGTTAGTGTTGGATAGGTTAAGATACCGCAGATGTTTCAAATCTCCAACAGAATTTGGAACTTCTATGATGTCATAACTACTCATATTGAGCACCCTCAAGCGTCTTAGCTTCGGCAATAGATTAAAGGGAACATTGCTTGCCAAATGACAATTCACACCATATGGTAAGTTAAATGGTAAGAAGGATGGTAAGTTAAATGGTAAGAAGGTTCGTAAATGCATGGCTTTGTTGAAAATCTCAAATTTTTTCATACCCTCATATTGCTCCCGCATATAAGATGAATGTCGAGCTTTCTTTATAGTCTTGCACTGCTCCGGATATTTCAATATATCCTCCAATCTAAAACAAGTTTCTCTTGCAACTACTTGAGCCAAATCATTGATGAGGTCGTGCATCACAAATTTAGAGCTTTTCCATTGATAACACATCTAACCCCTTCTTATCATTTAAATTTGCCTCCCTTGCATCTAATGGAACCACCACGTTCTGTAACCCAGATAGGCAAAGCTTCCCCCGAAGATAAATTAAATTCCCCAACTCTCTTAACCAATGCCCATTGTTTTTAGTAACAATGAAATTGGACAGTGTTTGAAGACTAGCCAACTTACCTATTCCCAATGGCATTTCTTTTAAGGAATGTGCATTTGTAGTATCGAGATGACGTAGGTCAATTAGGTTTCCCAAGTCTGTTGGCAACTTTTTTAGTTGTCTACATCCTCTTAACATCAATGTTTGTAGATTGTAAAGAGAGCCTAGTGATTCAGGTAATTCTTCAATGTTAGTGTTGGATAGGTTAAGATACCGCAGATGTTTCAAATCTCCAACAGAATTTGGAACTTCTATGATGTCATAACTACTCATATTGAGCACCCTCAAGCGTCTTAGCTTCGGCAATAGATTAACGGGAACATTGCTTGCCAAATGACAATTCACACCATATGGTAAGTTAAATGGTAAGAAGGTTCGTAAATGCATGGCTTTGTTGAAAATCTCAAATTTTTTCATACCCTCATATTGCTTCCGCATATAAGATGAATGTCGAGCTTTCTTTATAGTCTTGCACTGCTCCGGATATTTCAATATATCCTCCAATCTAAAACAAGTTTCTCTTGCAACTACTTGAGCCAAATCATTGATGAGGTCGTGCATCACAAATTTAGAGCTTTTACCGGTTCTTGATGGTTGGAAAAAAGACCTTGACAGCAATTCCCGAAAGTACTCACCTCCTACATCTTCCATTTGCTTATCTCTTTGTTGCTGGATGAAGCCCTCCGCCATCCACAACAAGACTAGTTCCTCTTCCTCAAATTCATAGTCGTTGGGTATTATTGAGCAGTATGCAAAGCACTGCTTCAAATGCGAAGGGAGATCATGATAGCTTAATCTCAAAGCAGGAAGGATGTCACTCTTTGTGTGTGGTAAATCCCATATTTTACTACGCAATACATTTATCCATTCCTCATCTCGTACTTTGCTGCGTAAAAGGCCACCGAGTGTCCTAGCAGCTAGAGGCAAACCTTTACATTTCTCCACAATTTCCTTACCAATTGATACCAATTTTGGATTTGCATCAATACATGTATTCGCAAAGGCATGTTGTGCAAACAATGACCAACAATCCTCCTTTGAAAGGATATTAACTTCATGAAGTTCAACAGTTGTCATCATTCCTGCAACTTCTCTGTCACGTGTAGTCACCACGACTTTACTCCCTTGGGCTCCATCATTGAAAGGTTTCTTCAAAACATTCCAGTCACTGTATTTTTTGTTCCAGACATCGTCTAAAACAATTAAGAACTTCTTTCCAGCCAAAGCCTGCTTTAATTGAACCTGAACTTGGTCCAAGTTATTAAAACTAAATGTCTGGGAAGTCACTGACTCAAGAATTGCTTTTGTTATTCTCATAATGTTGAACTCATCTGACACACAGACCCAGGCTTTTAGATCGAAATGCTTCTGCACAGTTTCATCATTGTATACCATCTGAGCAAGGGTGGTCTTGCCAATCCCACCCATACCCACAATGGGAATTACACCAATGTTGTTATGACTTGATTCATCCCCCCTTACGAGCAACTCAATTATCTTTCTTTGATCATATTCTCGGCCATAAATGTGAGGTTCATCAAATAAAGATGTAGAGTCTGGTCTTTGCCAAGTCTTAGTCGTAGGTGTAGGGGTGGTTCCAACAATCTTAACCAAATTAAGTTTTGAACATTGTTCAAAACTATTGTGCAATCTGGTATTGATCTCCTCAATCTTGGACTTCATCTTGAAATTAAACAAAACATCTCTTGGCTTGAAATTAGGGATGAGGTTCCATACCTTGCTGGAACTAGCTTGTGGCTGCTTTGCCTTGAGCTTGTGTTGCAAAGCTTCGGTGGCGAACTCATCCACTAAATCATCCAAATCATATGCCAGATCCTGGAGATCGTCGAGCCACAGGTTCACGGCTCGATCTGTCAGTTGCTTCTCCTCCGCGTCAATCAGAAAAGCTTCAATTTGAGACAGCATATTGGTCCAATTGGTCAGCTGGGTATCAATTCCTTCAAAGGTTGGTAATTTCGAGGAGGCAAAAGAGGTCATCTTCCCAAACAACAAATTGACGAAGCCAGAGACAAAGATCCCTTCTATAGGCATTGTTTCCGATTACAGAAAGAAAAGAAAAAACCAACAGATCAGAAGCAAAGCAAAGCAAAGAGGTTCAGTGGAAAAGGCTTTAGCAGTTTCAAAATTGGCTATATTTTTGTGATGAGAAGAAGAAATTATTGGGCTGCAAAGGAAGTCAAAAGTGAGTCTCCTTTCATTGGCCCCCTGTCCTCTGTGAAAACGTGTAAATTAAAAATAAAAATAAAATACTCAAAATAAAAGAACCCAAATATTATATTATTGTTAGTAGAAAGAACCCATTACATTTGTTAATATTCTTTTAAATGAATTCATATCTCTATCATGGTTTTTCTCAGTTACTAGAGGGTGGCTTAGAAGTTTTTCCATCTTTACCCAACAATATAGTTTTGGGATTTGGTTGATGCATTTCAATTTTGTCGGATGTGATTTTTTCTGTACATATTATTGAATATGAAACAGAAAAATATTATGAGTAAAATAAAAGAGAAGTCAAAGTGAAATTCAAAATCAATTAGGACCACTCGGGTAATTAATATATTCATCATATCGTTGGTCCCTATAATTTGTTTTGAATTTTATTTTGATCTTTCTAATTTTGCACTTAGTTTTTTATGTTCCAATTGTTAACAATATTTGACGCAAATTAAAATTATGATGACTAAAACGACACTTTACGTAAATTACAGAGACCAATAATTTAATTTACAATTTAATTAAAAAAATTTCTCTCTTTTGTAAGACATAATTGAACAAGTATTTTAACATGAATAATATGGAGTAGTACTCTAAAAACACTAAATAACTGTATAAATTTATAATTGATTTAATTTTAAATTTTGTACTGATTTAATTTTAAATTTTGTACTAATTTAATTCAATTAATAACGCCAATTAGTGTTTTTAAAGTAAAATCGTTAATCAGATGATTGAGATTGACTCACTTAGTTAAGAAAATTTATAATTTTGTTTCTGAAAGTGTAACTCACGCTACTCATGTGCGCACTTTTCATAATTAAAAAAAAAAAGAAAAAAGTTAATGATTGCAATCAATTAGGTTAAATTGAGACAATAAAAAATTTAAAATCTTAATTAAAATTATAAAGATCGAAATGACACTAAAATCAAACTATAAAAACTAGTGATTAAAATTTGTGCATGTTTATTTTCTTATTATAATGAGTAATGCTGTTTGTTTGGTATGCATGAGGCTTTTCTCATATCACACGCACAAGCATATCATGCCAATTACTCATTTTTTTGAATCAAATGTTTGTCCCTCCTTTCTCTATGATATAATGAGTAATGCTGTTTGTTTGGTATGCATGAGGCTTTTCTCATATCACACGCACAAGCATATCATGCCAATTACTCATTTTTTTGAATAAAATGTTTGTCCCCTCCTTTCTCTATGGAATTTTTGTAGATGAGTTTCCTATTAATCTTTGTGGAAAGAAGTGTCAAAATTACCAAATTTTCATCAAATGATTTTGTATTTTCAAAATAAGAAAGTGTGAATGTTTACGCATTTTTTATTGAAAGAATCTTTTAATTTCACTATAAAAAAAGGATTGTTTCCAAAAGTAATTATCAAAAATAGTTTATTAAACAAAATTTTCATATCAAGTTCTGATTTTCTTTTTCTTTTTTTACAAACAAAAATGCTAAAAAGGTCCAATTATTTAACAGGATATTTAATCAGGAACATATCCAAAATTTAAACTTTAGGGGATAAAAATACACATAACTTTTCATCGAAAATAAGTATTTTAAAATTTAAAATTTTAATTTATACCAACACAAAAAGTGAATAATATTAGTATTAATTGAATATTTTTTATCAACATAATTGAAAATAAAAATATAATCGAGCATTTTTTTTGTTTACATTAACTTTAAAAAAAATCTTAACTACTATTATGTCTACTCTCCCTCTATTAAAGTTAATTATCTGAAAATATAATATTTTTTTTCAAACTTAAGAATTTGCTAGTGAAAATGTAGAGAAATGATTGAGAAACTGCAAAGAAAGGTTATGGGCCATGTATAAAATAGACACCATTGCTTAATGCTTTTTTTCAATTTTTTTTAAATTATATTTTTTAGTAATTTCTTTGTCACTACTCTCCCTATATTAAAGTTAATTATCTGAAAACATAATTTTGTTTTCAAACTTGAGAATTTGCTAGAGACTTGCTTAATGCTGACACCATTGCTTAATGCTTTTTTTCAATTTTTTTAAATTATTTTTTTTAGTAATTACTTTGTCACTACTTTCTTCTTACCGTGTGAGACCCACCATTATAATTCATTTCCAACTTATTTTCATAATCCATATTGATGTTATGTTTGTGAACATCAAATAACATATAGAAAAAAAGGGTTAATTACAAAAATAACCCCAAGATTTTATGCATTTTTCATTTTAAGTTTCAGTATTTTAATTTCGATAAATTTAACCTTAAAATTCTATACATGTTTCCATGTAATCCTTCGGTCCATCTCCTTTTGTGTTGGTAATGGAGAATCGTTTTGGGATTTCAATTGAAAAATACTGGGGCTTAAAGTGAATAACAGGTGAAACCTTGGAGTTGGAGTTTTTTTTTTTTTTTGTAATTAACCCCAATATTTAATTTTTCTTTGTGTGTATATATATAACTTAGATATCTTATTGTATATGTACATGTGTGCTTGTATATATGGTGAAATTTCTTTATTCAAATTTTGACTGATACTCCCTTCGTTCCATTTTATTGGTCCATTATTACATTTTTTTGTTGTCCCAAAATATATATCTACTTTGAAAAGTCAAAATTTTAAAATTTAAAAATAAAAATAGAAGGGTATCTTTAGAATTAATTATTTAAAATTTGAATTCAAAGCGTAATGATTACATTTCTTTAAAAAGTTTGAATTTTAAAAAATGGACTATCAATGTAGGATAGACGAAATAAAATTTTGATTTCGTCCCTATTTTTGATGACTAAAAATAAATATATTTTTTAACATTTTACAAAAAGATATGTAAAAAAATAGGGATGTGATTTGACCCAAATAAATGCACTTATTTAGTTTATGTCAAATAGTGTCTTAATCCATTAGAGTATTGATAAGTGTCTTTTACATTTCAACTAGCCCTTCTTCCATAGTCATCAAAATTAGGAATGAAATTAAAATTTTATCATTAGAAGAGTCAAAATTTGAATAAAAAAATTACACTATATATACAAGCACACATGTACATGTACATCTACAATAAGAAACATAAGTTATATATATATATATATATTCACCCCAAAAAAGGTAATAAAAAAAAAAAAAAAAAAAAAAAAAAAGAACCAAAGTTTCACGCGTTTTTCTTTAAGCCCCAAAATTATTCTCCATTACCTTGCACAAATGGAGATAGACGAAGAGACACATTGAAATACGAATAAAACTTCAGAGTTTAATTTGTCAAAAATTGAAACACTAGGTTTAATGTGAAAAACATGTGAAACTTTGAGGTTTTTTTTTTTATATAATTAACCAAAAAAATAATAATAATACAAAAAAAGAAAAAAAAGGACAAACAGAGAAGAAGAAAGTAAAACGTGAACACAATAATGGTGGGTTAGAAAGAAATCACAAAAACATTTACAAAAAATAAAAAGAGACAGGAAAAAAATATGGTAAGTCTCTTTCTTTGAAATCAACAACAATGGTACATATATATATATATATATATATGGATAAAACTCTAAGATTTAATTTGTCGAAATTAAAACATTGAGATTTAAAGTAAAAAATGCATAAAACCTCAAAGTTTTTTTTTGTAATTAACCCAAAAACAATCATATACAAATATTTTTCTCCAAAAAATTCACAAAGATACATATATATATATAAATACTCTTTCTGAAAATCACTTCTTTCAAATAAATATCATTTCTAAATAAATATCAAAGGGCTCAATTTTAAAAATAATGAGAAAGACAAAGGCATACAATTTTTTTTTCCTTGAAACATAGTCCAACCCATACTTGTTGGGGTTTTACCCAAACAAGGCCCAAATCCTGAGCGAGCCATCCCAAGTGAGACTGGGCCTAGAATTTGAAACTCAGTCTGGCCCAAGCTTGTTGGCCTTTTACCTAAACCGAGCCCAAATCTTGGAAATGTCGATTGACGTGAGACCAGGCCAAAAATTGGGCCTCAAAATTGAAGCCCAACCCTGCCCAACCTCGTTGGGCTTTCACCTAAACAAAGCCTAAATCCTGGACTGGCCAACCCAAGTGAGATTGAGCCTTGAATTTGAAACCCAACCTGGCCCAAGCTCATTGGGATTTTACTCAAAAAAAGGCCAAATCCTCGATAGGCCAGCCCAAGTTAGACAGAGCCTGGAATTGGGCCTTTAACTTGAAACCTAACATGGCCCAAGCTCATTGGGCTTTTACTCAAATAAAGCCCAAGTTCTGGACATGCCTACACAAGTGAGATTGGGCCATAAATTTGAAACCCAGCTTAGCCCAGCCCAACCCATGAAAAATTATAACAAAAAAAAAGGTGAAGAAAAATTATTTTAAAAAAGACTCAAATCTTGGGCTAAGCCTGTAGGCCAGGCCACAAGCCCATAGAGGCAGCCTCTTGGCCCACTCATCAATCCACCATGCAAGCTCACTTAGGCTTAAGGTTTTGGCCTGCAGCCCAATGAAAGAAGCTTCGCACATTTTCAACTTTCTACACCAAACAAGCCCATTATCATGGTGCGAAAGAATGGTCCATAAAATAATTGTGCTGATCTCTCTCATGAGCAAAAATGAACATCTTTCAAGTTTTAGGTTTGCCTTACTAACCATTTGAAACATGACAAGTCACTTGAAAGAAGAAAATAAATAAACCAGTTTAATTTACTTTCAAATTTTAAATTTCTTATCAAAATCTTAGTGCGCGTGATATTTTATCCTATACTTTCACTAACATCAGTTCGTGTGGCAAACTGGTCGATGTCGGTCTTATTTTGCTGTTTTGTAATCCTAAGAATTGAGACCTGCATAAAAACAGATGAATAAAACAAATAAGCTTCGTATAAATAAAAAATTAAACACATAATGAAGTTTGAGTTGCGGCATGCTTGTTTCGTCTCATGTAATCAGCAAAAAAATCGATAAATGTAAACCAACATAATATAACATGATATGGACACGAAAAAGCAAAAAAAGGAAGAACCAAACAGGACAAACTAAAAACTATTGCATGCCACCATTACAATTATGACTGATACGAAATGCACAGTTCAAATACGAAATGCAAATATCTTGCAGTTCGTTTATGATATGCTCTTATACAAAA